TCATTTCCGTTTCTATTTGGTTGGTCTTCCCGGTTTCCCACATTGTTCGGACGTTCCATGTACCTATAAAAATTTTTGCTCTGGTTGTTAGAAGGGGCATCGGCCTCGTGGCTTCCGAAGGAACTCGGTTTTCACCATGAAGCGTCATAATTCTTCTAAATGAAGACCTAACTCTCAGGGTAGAGTTAAAATGGCTTGAATTATTTTTTCTGGTAAGCGTTTTTTAGCGAGTTAGTTTTCTACGGGATGGGGACGCTAACTCTATGCCCAACCCTCCTCCTTTACCCGGGCTTGGGACTGGCAGTAACTCTAGAAGAGCTACAGGCGGAGTTTTCAGTTCCTTAGACTAGCTATTATGCGATTATTATTGCTTTCGTATTCAGTGCTACTCACCGCTGCATATTTTAGTTATTCTTTCTTGTGATGTCACCTCAGTGTTTTACTTTAGAACTTAGTACCAAGGTTTTGGCTATTATTATTTGAACACTCCAAGAGCATCTAAATCATTGTTTGGACAATGACCAGCGGACACAGAGCAGTATTTTAGACAGGCTCTGATGTAAATGGAGTAAAAAAGTCAATATAACTTTTCCATGGCATCCACAAACTTTGAATACACCTGTAGTGCCATTGGGTCCTGACCACACAATTCTCAAGGCTGAACACGAGGCATTTGGGTAAGTAGATAGTCAACATTTAGCGCGGATAAAAACCCAACGCTGGAGAAGGCGGGAACAATAAATTCAATTGGTAGGAATTAATCGAATGGCATGGCTCTGCCTTGCAGGCTAGGCCATCCTTGGGTGTTGATGTATACCTTCGTAACAGCTTAGGTTGGTTGGTTAAGAGTTGACCCCAAACAACCAAGCATATGCCAAAACAGTATTGTTCAAGTATTCATTCACTTCCTTATTTTGTATAAGCGTTATATTCCCTATTATCTTATATTGAATGTTGAGAGCCTTTGTTTGTCTGAACAGATAATCCCACACTCCACTGGTGACTGCGCGAAGATCGAAATAAAGACCTATTCACTACTTCTCTGGTTTCTTCTATCAATAGCACGAGGGTTACCTTAAGGCACGAAACCTTTTATTCAAATTGAATATATTGTTCTATCTCTAATCTAAATGCGTTCCTCACCATATATTTATGATTGTTACGACGCAATGAGTTGGTGTAGATAAACATATCTCATAGGAGGAAGGTGATATAACGACCTTTGAAGGATGCTAACCAGAAAAATCAGTTCATATGACGTTAAAGTTAGAGTATCAGAATATATACTGAAAGATGTTTTTCATGCTGTTACCACTTTATCTTTTGAATAGTGAACGTGTTCTGTGTATCCACTTAAAGTTAACGCATTCCGCTCGATCACAGCATCATGTAGATGAACAATCTGTGTAAAATTTCGGATTGATACCATTCCTTTCGTCCTAGTCGATATATACTAAAGTCTAGAGAAGCGAGCTATTGCTCCAGAATTTATTACCGGAATAAATTTTTAACCAGTTTGACTTTTCAACAGTAAAGAGCAGCCTAATGGATAATTGATCACTAGATATGACGCATGAACAGAACACTGTGTGAAATTAAGGCTGTTAACTCAGGTTAATACAAAGCAGTCAACGGCAGGTGGGGTCAAAAGATAACTTTTCGTCAGAATGAAAATATTGGAAAAAGAATTCGAAGATATGTACTTCCCATTTTATGTAGGCTTTACATCCTATATCTCCTTTATGAAACGATCAATTTTCGAATGTTTACTGATATGACTTCTCTCCTAGTTTCATACCTTGGAGCAGTACACGTTGTGACAAGGCAACAAAAGTTCTTCTCTGACTTCGAAGCTGAACGAGCGAAAAAAGTTGAGGTCTTAGGGTATTTACCACTACGCTGTTGCAGGTTCTCACATACATATGGTGCAAAATGAAGAACGTAAGTAATGAGAATTCCTCGTTCAGTATAATTCGTCACACAAGAAGATCCTGACACCTAGAAGTATAGAACAAGCAATGATATATATAGTGAATCTTACCTTACTTATCCCTACGGGTAAGTTATTTTATTAGAAATGAGCTGCTAGTACGCGGAGAGGGTTTTAAATGAGTCTCTTTTTAAGTACTTCGTCAACAAATTTATGCTTGTTTGACCATAACATGGACTCTTGCCTAGTAGATCTTATAATGAAAACCAAATGGCTGCTCAGAACGGATGGACTTCTTCAGTGGAACAGTTTTCCCGTTCACACTAGCCTTCTATATTTACTATAAGGACTCAGTAGAATAAACCAGTGTATTCTATCCTGGAGGCTGAACTTCGCAGGTTCAAGTGGGTATCTGATGAATTAACTCCTCTGTTATTTAAGACGGAGGTCAAAAGCCAACGATGTTCGCGTTACTTCTTCGGACTGACCTTCATTGGAGAGCAGAATGTCACAAACACAGATCTTTGGGGAAACCCTTTTATTGATTATTAACGACGCCCATAAAGGTTAGGACCCTAACTCTGGTACACTCAAATAGTCATAAATTTTGAGGAAAAACACTTGTCTCCGATGATATCCTGACTTTTCAGAATGGTTAATGTAAGACCAGTCATCCGGCTTTAATATCTGTAGAATGTCAGTGGAATACTGATGATGGGCAATATTGATACTCTGTTTACCTCGTATTTTCTGTGAGGTCTCTCAGCAACAACCTCCACCATTGAACAGGGACTGGTACACCACTCTTGGTATCAGTCTAGATTTCTCTTTTAACAAACCAAGTACAACCAAAAAGACGTGCTCACTACTGAGGATCCTCTCAAGAATTTCAGGAAACTTTACTCCGGGTGCATGTCAGACTTTTTTCATTGGTTACCTAAGATTTCGCCCGGGAAAGTGTTTGCGCCATGCCCCTTTATTATAAAAAAATCGCTTCCTTTGAACGTGTTCAAAATGGAGCAAACAACGAGGTGCTCATACTGGGAAATACATATAATTTAGCTCGCCTGAAAACTATGAATGTACAGGTAGTTCATCTGGGAAGTAGACCTGATGTGAACTTGATGTATCGCATCGCCAATAACTCTCTTCACCCTGAAAGTCTCTCAGTCTGTCCTAGCAGTGAATCATTCTTAGAAAGAGACCGTTTTAGGAAATAATCGAAATAATGGCAAGACATTTTATAATCTTTTCTAAAAACCAAACGACGCAAATTCAGCGTGAGGCTGCACAAATCAAGTGGTTACATCATTCCTGTTCAACTTCAGTAGACTAACATCTTCAAGTGTTACTGCACGTTGGACTACTAATTAGGTTGTTTTCGAGAGTTAGCTTCTGATAAGAAATCAGAAAGAACCATACCTTTTCTTGACCGGGAAAATTTCTTTTACTTTTTAAAAGCAGCTCACGAGGACCAAGCTATCTGTTAACTCTGCCTAGAAAATTTTAAGTTTTGGTGCATGATAAGTACTTTAATTTGGGGTACGATTTGTTGCTCCTACATTCTTAACAATTGAAATAAAGTCCATTTTATATAGGACATTCGAGAACCTTTACAAGGACTTAAGATTTGGTAGTGACTGTGTTTTTCTTCATATCAAGAATCGGTTTTTGTAACTGGGCATTGCTCAAAATCACCATGTACTCATATACACAGCGGCTATTGCAAATGTGAGTCAATGACCTTGACGGTAATGTTCTTCAAAGGTAGTGGTCGTTTCTCGTTAATACATAACAATTCTGAGGTTTTTAAAATTAATATGATGAGCGTCATGTTGCAATATCATTTATGATGGTCCTACTGATTAAAAAAATATGTGTACGGATGATCATTCAAGCTAAATTTAGCTCAAACCATACTGGCATCATTTAATCATTTCCCATTTACTTTATTTTCAAAATTTTGGGCCAAGTTAACGTTAAATAATCCAGCAAAACATTATCATAAAATGAAAACACCAACCTGCTCAGAATTTGTATATTATTTCGTGGTAGTATTTGAAACACATTTACGGAAGTGTGTGGCCTAAAGGATGCTTTTACTCCACTTTAATGTACTGAATTCATTACAAAGGAATTAGGAGACTTATTGTTGAGACAGATGTGACCAAATTCAAATGGTTTTTGCCCACACTTGTAAACGCTTATGTGTTGAATAAGAAGGCAACTATTTCCTTTTATTGATTATTCAGTTAACGGTTTGATGGCACCCAAATTATATAATGTGGATTTAAACCGCATGCAATGCACATGCATTTCTCTGTTCCCCCTCAAAATATACTCGTATTGATAAGTTTTCCTTACTATCATCGACACACATTTTGACTTGTTTACTATTCATCAACTTGTCATAATAATGCGATTCGATAACTTGGTACAACGAACGTTTTCTCACTCTCTACAACTAACTAACACAATCAACGTAGAAGGTGCCACAAATATGCATCGGCCCAAGTCTCCATGCCTTGTTACAGTGAAGAGATAAAGATAGCAAGATTAATAGCGAAGGAGTCAAAGTAATTGTGATAAAAATGACAGTAGAAAAGATCAAGGAATATTGAAATTCAAGGTTGAGGGGAAGAAGAAGAGCGAATGAATCTGAAAGGTCGTAGACGGTTCTGAGCCATTTTACGTAAATTTTCGTACCGCTGATGGGGGTTATCACCATAAACCTAACAAACTAGTCTAAATCTATCAGCACTGCTGTGACTAAGAGTCAGTGGGTTCGTGAACTGATATCATGTCGTGACTTGGGTCTTACAACCTACTGCATCGGCAGTCTTTGGGTATGTGTAACACTAGTATAAAAACCGATGTATGTTTACTAGACAAACAATTACTTGTTATCATTCCTCCAATCGTATATCGTTAAATACAGAGGTTAATCGGTGGTAATACATATTTTAAAAATGGTCTGTCAGTACTTCCTGTTACATATGATAAGTACATTTATTTATAAAATTCCTGTTTTTCTTTTATTTGTTCTCAATCTCTAGGATAGCTCAGATACATGCAAAGATTGAGTTTGACTCAGCGCCTTCATATTCTAAAGGCGTTACACGGATGCTTTATCCTCACACTTTTATGCACAGGAATTGTCGGACTGGTTTTATTCAGTACGATTATTAGTCAACCTATTCGAAATTGTCCTATACTTCATGCTATATACACTGTGTTCTGGCTTTCTCTTGGCCTTTCTATTCTACAAATCATATTAGCCATAATTTTCTTCATTTGGTTTCTGTTTACATTTCTTTGTCCTCCAAAATCAGTGGGTAGTGTTACAAATTCAAGTCAACCTGGAGTTCAAGCTAATCAACTAGTTTATTCATCGAATAATCCATTTGATTCTTGTACAACAGCTGTTGGTGTCCACTGTGGTCAAGTTTATGGACCTTCTTATTTTTCACGTCCACGTTGTGCAAGTGATGATACACTTGATAGATCTTCAAGCATATGCGACTGTTGTCACTTCAGAATTGGATGGTTATGGTTTGGTTCCATATTTCTTGGAATTTTATCAGTTGGTTTAATATTAAGTTTAATATTGGTAGGAAACTTTTTGTCTGAAATGGATACACTGTTTAACTCAGAGATGGCCAGCACATTTGTAGAGGCCCGTGTAAGCTATTTTAGTGCCAAGAGTTCTAACAATGCACTAAAGTGTTGGGACATAATACAAAAAACTTTCCAGTGTTGTGGTCAGATCAATTACACTGATTGGAGTTCATATGGACAAAGAGATGTACAGAGTAACGTAGAAACTGCACTACCGATTTCATGTTATTTCACTGATAATATTTCCGTTAATCGACATATTTATACTTCAGGTTGTTTAGATCTTATTACTAAATCATTAAATTTACAATTGACCACATCTCGTGTTTATTTAATCGTAACATTTATTTTACTGGTGGTCACATTTTTTGTCGATTTTGGTTACACTTTATATGTTGCATATACAACTCTTGTTGAAAACTCTGTAATGGAATATGACAGGAGCAATATGGAGGGAGTATGGCAACATACACCAGAAAAAATAGCAACGAGAAAAGTTTCCTCGTCAGCCGTCATCTCCGACCACCATCATGATGAATTAGAATCTATTTCCAGCAGTAATTCAAGTTCTATAATGGTTCAGAATTCTGTTTATCAATCACATAGGAATAACTGACAATCTTTTCGAGAAGAATATGAATCTAGTCACGAAACAGAATATTCTGTGGATATAAAATAAGGAGTTTAAGTGCATTCAAACAAAATGCATGTGGTTTTCCTATAATGGATTGATTTATGCCGTGATTCTGTTGTTTATCTCATGATATCATAACACATATCAGATTTGTATTTGCATTTTAATGAAATATATTAAGAAATAAAACAAGTCACATATTTATTATTTTTGTTTTGAAAAACATATTATTTTACACCTTTTCATGATTCCTATTGTTTGTCAGTACGCTGATTACATTTACATGCCTATTGTGTGTATCATTAAACCAATGATGCTTTGAAATGTTTTGTCTTTGTGTTTACTATCCCGTTATATGAAGTAAGGGTTTTATATTTATTGTAGAGTTGCTTGGATTGTACTTTTCGATTTTGTATGATTTTTTGGTTTATTTATTGAAAAATTCCAATTTTTTATATGCCTGTGGTTTTCACACTAGAAATTAGTCTAAATAATGTTCTTTGTTATTGTAATGAATTCCCATCTATACATTGTTGATGATTTTTACTTTAACTAATGAATATATGATGTTGTGGGGAAAACAAAGATGTGTACTCTCCTCGGTAATTAACAAATCTGTGTAAAAAATGCTTTGATTAAGCAAAGTTGAATGATGCTAATCTTTACTGATCGTACTAGGTTGTAAAATTAGGCTGTTAGGTATTCACTATAACTAATTAGCTAAACAAGAAGGAAGACTTTGAAAAATAAATAATGATAAGTGTTTTAAGGTAATTCATAAATTTTCATGGATAAATGTTTCATAACTAGTAATATTCACTGTAAGGGGATAACTGTAATTCAAAGGTTTGAACTGAGTTGAGATATTTAAGTGTGGTAACATGTAACTACATAATACAGATTTGAGTACTCACTGGATGATGCACTTCTATGAAATTGCGTTTATACTTTATGTACAAGCATTCATTATTAGTTTGTGTTGAGGAATGAGAAAGTGGATGTTGCGTCCTCCTTGATAAATGTGGTATTACATGCAATTGTTGAAAATCTTTCACAGATGTTGAATATCTTTTTAGATATTTCCTTTATTATTATGTGCAACAATTATTTAATAGCAAAGTAGGACCCAGTACGTATATAAATCGATTCAATCTGCCGTACCTATTTATCACAGAGATGAAACCGTTGCTGCCACCTTGATGTGTTGGTCGGGCTTACTTGTCTGGACGACGCAGTCGAGCTATATTAGCTGCGATATATGCTTCTTCAGGTCCTACCGTGCCAGGCAGGTCGTTTGGAAAACGGTAAAAATGAAGGCAGGAACTTAAAGTCCAAGGGGGAAGTTGTACTGCTGACTTGAGGGTTATGACAGCTATAAGGTATTCCTCTAAAAATTTCACTCCTCACCTTACCCTATGGATTTCCATCTCCGTTTGTAAGATCTTTTGAAGTACGGAGCTATCACATCAAAAACGTCCCATAAAAATGACGTGCGTGACCGGGCTTTTACAGTTATCCTTTTGTCTCTGCGATCATTCTCCTAGATCACTAATCCAGCTCCCTTTTTAGGTCTCTCAAGAAGAAATATCCTTCCACGGTGTGGGCACATGGGAAGTGACAACTACTCTAATACCTTTAACAGCACCCGAGATGTGTAATATGTGTATTGTGTTTCTTTACTGACAACAATAATCATAAAAGTTCTCAAAAAGGCAATGTAATTTGAAAGTCACCTCATCAAAGTTTTGGGAAGTCTAGATAATATAACTAGCTTTTCCACAACAGATATAATTCATAAATTAAAGGGGTTGATCTTAAATCCCTCAGTTCGAAGTTAGACAGCCCGATAAGATTTAGTCATGCATTTTCATTTTGGTTTCTTTCTCAGTTTAAAAGTCCTCATAAAATATTCAAAAATGAAGAAGATTTGAGCGAACAGTTGTTTTCAGTAACTTCATCATCAGGCTCTATAGTCATAGGTTCATAATTATGGTATTTTACAAAGGCCAAAATCAGTCGCGCGCGCGAGCACTTAACCATTAGACCACTGAGCCGGCATCAAATGGTGTTAATGTCTAACTTCAACCAATCCACGAAATTGCGCCACAGTCACCATTGTCTTGAGTGAATTGATATCTCACAACAGGCCTGGTTGAACTCCACTAGTCACGTCTTCTCACTAGAACTCCAGGAGTGTCTCTTGAAGTCAGTCACTAGTGAGCAGATGATTAGTATCAGAAGGGGTTTGTGGAGATTATAGTAATTTCAGTAGTTAAAATCATGAATCAATTGAAGCTAGACCACCATGGAAAACCTGGAAGCACTGGACGGCCGTTTCGTCCTAATATGGGACTCCTCAACAGTGCGCATCTACGATTCCACCTCGCGTAGGTTCTAGCACAATTAAGCATTAGTCCAACTCGACCGGATTGAAGAGTAATAAATGCATATAAACTACTGTGACCATTTCTGACTTATATCACTCAATATTTCCAACTACTGATCAACTATCGCACAAACCCGAATCTGGTAGTCTGCATTTATCAACAAGGCTCAGACTAACAGTCAATAATTTCTTGGATTGATACAGCATTTTGGTTTGGGCGATACTACTTTTATTCCAACCTAATTCTATATCAGATAACATTTCAGTAGTTGTAATTTCAAACAACATTAAGGACACATTTTAAATAAGGACAGACTTCAGTAAACATAGCACAGTTCGAACCATCGAATAAATGATCAAAATTCTATTGCCAAGATTATAGAACCATAGTCCTGGTAACCATAAAAAGGAATCACTGTTAAAAGATTGCTTACAATTTGTTTTTCTTCATTTGGTCCAGTCATTTAAGCGTTACATTTTTATTCATTGTTCCATTTCAAATCAAATGACCCCATTCAAAGTGTATGTGATTCAGATTGGTCAGGTTGGATTGTATTGGTAATTTATTGATTCATTCTTTACCAACCTTTAAAACAACGAAAATCGATAATTGGTTACAATTTATTTGGATACAAATAACTTAACATTTATGAAAAACTTATTTTGATGATTTTGCATTATTTCCAGAATGGGGTTTATGGAGATTGTAGTAATTTTAATAGTTGAACTCATGAGTCTATTTAAGCTAGACAACCATTAAAAACCTGGAAGCACTGAATGACCGTTTTGTTCTGGTGTGGAACTCCTCAACCGTGCGAATCCCGCATGCCGGACCCGAACCCAGGATCTTCGGCCTCGCGAGCGAATGCTTAATCTCGGGTAGAGACAGGTATCTCAGACGATGGATGAAGTGTTGAGCAAGGCCATGGATCGATCGAAGTTAGACATTAACACCACTGGACGCCGGATCGGTGGTTTGGAGGTTAGGCGTTCGTTCGAGAGACCGGATGCCCTAGGTTCAAGTCCCATGTACAGAATGGCGAGTCCTGTATTAATTAAAGGTAACGTTTATCACGAATTGAGCTACATAAGTGATAAGAACTACAGGGTATAATGAAACTGTTTCATTTTATGTTGAAATTTCTCACCAGTTTAATTGAAAGTAAGGTAAAAAGTGTATGAAAATAGTCAGATGATGATTGTACTATAGAAAATGTAGATTAATAACTACCACGTCAATGGTTGAATGATATCATGTACTATTCAACTTTATGTTAGACTATTGAGTAGTCACAATATAAACCCGCATTCAGCTCTCTTCCTTTACTCAGGTTTGGGACCGGCAATAACTCCAGAACAACTCTAGCGTAGGTTGGTTAATTACTACTACTAACTTTCGGTTTGAACATTCAAATGGAATAACTACGTAGTGAATTTCATGTAATTCTAACTCTCACTTCTTTATTTGACAAAAAAACACGATCTTAAAACAATAGTTCTTATGTTGTGTGCGTTCAAATTCTTCTAGAGATATGACGTTTCGTGTGTATTACTGTACGAAGTTGATCGCAAGAGGTTTTTTGTTGGTAGATAGTGTGGTCATATTGGCATAGTTGGAGACTGTCAGGAAATTCGACCTAATTTTCAGAGGTCCATATAAACATATGTCAATAGAGGGTTGTTAAATCTCACTGAAATCATGGAGCAGTCTACATTAGACCATAATTAAAAACCTAGAACTACTGGATAGCTGTTTCGTCCTAGTATAGGATTCTTCAGCAATGGGCTTGATTTAAATAATTAAAGTATTGACTGACTACTTCAATGGATATATGATACTAGGCAGTGAGTAACTCATCTCTACCACCAACAGTGATTAACCAGATTGAATTAGTTTTATTCATCTGATTTCTAGTTTGGTTTATTGGAAGACGATGATCTTTTCATTTATGAAATCTAAAAGGAAAATAGTTCAAATCATTGGAGTTTTAACATATTAAGGGTTGAAAAGGTTTAAATTGTTGATCAGTTTTCTAATCACTGATAAATTGTTGATGAATATATAATCGATAGTTGTATCATTACAACGGTTCTGTTGAACAGTATTAATAGAGAAACATTCATAAAAAATTACATAACTCTAAATTATAAATATGTAAATTTTGCATAATTTACAACTGGAAGTGAATAGTTAACTAATACAATAATGAAATCGATTTATACTCGTATTTATAGACAATTTCCAAATCTGAAGGGGTTTTGTGTATATTATAGTCATTTCAATAGTTGAGATTATGAGTCAGTTGAAACTAGACCACCATTTAAGACCTGGTAGCATTGGACGGCCATTTCGTTTTATTGTTGGACTCCTCGGCAGTGCGTATTCAAGATCCTGGCCCCCGCGGGATTCGAACTCAGTATCTATCAGTGCTTTCAGGATTTCCATGGTGGTCTGGCTTCAATTGATTCGTGATCACAACTATTGAAATTACTACAATCTCTACAAAACCCCTTCTGATATTAACCAACATATGCTCACTAGTGACTGGTTTCAATACATGTTTCCTCGAGTTCTAGTGAGAAGCTGTGATCAGTGAAGTTCAACCGGGTCTGTTGTGAGATAGTAACTCACTGATGACAATGGTGGATGTCATTGAATTTCGTGGATTCGTTGAAGTTGGACATTAATACCGTTGGATGCCGATCAGCTCAGTGGCCTAGTTGGTTAAGAGCCTGGCACGAAACGGATCATCCCTGGGTTTGAATCCCGCGAGGCGGAGTCGTGGACGCGCTGCTGAGGAGTCCCATACTGGGACGAAACGGCCGTTCAGTGCTTCCAGGTCTTCCATAGTGATCTAGCTTCAATTGACTCATGATCTCAATTGTTGAAATTTCCATATCTGTTTACTTTAGTTAAAAACTATATTTATTTAAGGTAAATTATCTTAATGATTGTATTTAGTGTTATCATAGTTATTCATATCGGTGCATCTATTCTTTTAGATGAGGTTTAAGTGATTGTATTTCCTTTTGACATTCATAAGTTTGAATTTTATGACTATAAATGAAAACAACCTTAAAATAAACCAACTCACCCTAAATGACCTCAAATGTAATGCTAGTTTAGTTTTCCAATGCAATGATCAATAAAACTTTACTAAAACCAGAAAGGTTTAATGTAGTCTTGTATTTCATTAGTCATTTGTAGCCTGCATAGCTCAATAGTAGATTTTCTATTTGATATGGATTGAAGTTTCCTCTAAGATTACAGACAAGTTTTATGATGATTAACAACTGAAAATGGTTATGCAGACGATTATTTTCCTGAGTACTTCCAACCATTGAGTAATGATATGTACGACTACGAACCATTTATGTATGTCATTCATTGAATTTCCAGTTGATGTTGAATGGTATGGGGCAGGGCCATTAAACTAGACAAAACACAATTTATTCAAACCTTATTTTACATTGTTTGTATGTTTAGTATCTTTAGTTCTGGTTATGTTAGTCTTTCAGCATCAGCGGCCGTTAAGTACATGCTTATGGATTCAGTATTGAGTTGTGGAGATTGTTGACTTTCATTGAAATCATGAACCAATCTAAGTTAAACCACTATTGAAAATCTGGAGGGACTAAATAGCCATTTTGTCCTAGTATGAGTTAAGTGATTAGATTCATTCATAAACTCACATAGTATGGATCTTTAATCAAGGCACAGATATGAATAAATTTCGTTGACCAATATGATTAGTGGTTAAATGGTTCATTTTTCAAACATCAGGCCACAGGTCCAAGTCCAAGGAAGTCGGTTAGTATCAATATCTGAATTTCCCAACGTGTGCTTTTTATGTGATTCACTGAACTTATGAGGTAGTTTTAAGGATTAGCGGTGACTATTATTACTGTCATATGATAAAATTAGTAACTTATGTGTAATGAAATACTTCTTCACTTAATAGATTATATCGTCCACCAGAAATCTTGCATTGAAGCTTGATATGAGTGATTGGTTAATCCATCACTCATGAAGCGAAATCTATCCTAGTGTACCAGGTATTTTACAGGAGACACCTTTACGAGACCATAGATACTAATATTTATAAGTACCAAGGAAAGATATATGCAAGAAATCAAACAGATGTTCCTACATTTATGTTTAAAACAGATTATATATTTAACCGAAGGGAGTTGGAGATGGTGTGTTTAGTTATTTGGTGATAAAAAACAAATTTCTCCTGTCAAAGCTCACTAATAAACATTTTAAACGGAGATAAATGGTGGTTAGTAGTAGAATCTAGCATGTAGGTTTCGTTCTACTTGAAACTCGTCAGCTGAATTTACCTGCACTTGAGAGTTGATATTCATTCTTGAACTCAAATCCGGCACCGTTCGAGGTAATCCGCACATGATTCATATCTGTCATAGAAGATCAATCAACTGCAGTCCTAAACTTCAGTATGGAAATTCTTCACAACTAATATTTATAAATCTGTTAATAAACAGTTCCCATGATAACAAAATCAAAGTTCACTTCAGTTCAGTTATGATATTAATAATGCCAAAGAGAATCTTCAAATCTACGAATGTATTACAATATTGGATATTTAATCTTAAGAATAATTTTTGAACAGGTTGATCAACAAACTTCAGTTATATTTGGTGGTATAACGGCTTAATACTGATTATTATTCCATTTATGTGTTAGTATTCTTCATATAATATCCCATTAGTTTAGTTTACTGTTTTGCGGTACAAGTGATTAAAACGTAAATTAAGATTGCAAATCTTGCTGTCTTGAAACAAGACTAACATGTCAAGGTTGATACTTGAGTTAAATATTGATTTCTGCTCTCTGAGTACGAGGTATGATTAAGAAATGCTTCCACCTGGTACTTGTTACTATGGGACGACAATCCTTTGTCAATTTAAGGAAGAAAACAAGACTGTTAAAGCAGACTGATTTATTTGTCATCCACGATACTACTGCTAAGAATGTACTGATTGAAGACTTGGTGGGGATAAACAATAACATAGCATCTTCACAAAATATGAAAATTGCACATTTAATATATAATTTTCACATCTTCCATCAAATGTCTCTTAAAAACTTCATCGTTCCTTCATTCCTGATGCTATTACAATTACTCTCTGTTTACGTTCCTGTTCTCTTCAATTCGATCTTCTTAAACTTCTACTGTCAGACATTCCACTTCTGATTGGTGATACATACTACTTATGTTGGCAGATATAAGTAGTATATACCAACTCTCCCACATGAAATGCTCTCACATGGTAACGTGCATACAGACACTGCCAGGGAAGTCCTACTCACTGCCTTCTCGTGGCACCGATGTTGTTTACGAAATTGAGAGGACGAAAAGTGAATGTCCGGAGCTTTGACCGGGTTGGTGGATGTGGATGATCGACATAGGGGAGTTGGTAAACCTTGGTTCCAAACCAGTGGTGCACAAGTGCCTCATGATCCTGAGGGAACAAATGGCGTATGAACGAATCATTGATCACCGGCTACCATGTGACTCCATCTCCTGACGTTGCTCCACTGCCTTATGGATTAGACCTTTAAGTCAAAGACTAGGGGTATGGCCCCCTAAGAAAACCACCTGCTTCGGTTTGAGAACCCGGGCAGTATTCTAGCCCACACACAAATTCAATGATTTATATGGCGCATATCCATTCGGTGTCTTCTTGTACTTATGTATACCAATACAATAAAATGATAATAAAACTCAGTCTGGGTGACCGAGTTTATAATCCCGTTAGATTGATTACTAGGATGGTGCACAATACAAAGAACAAATCACGTTATATCAGACGCACAAATCACGACCAAGATTGGAGAACCAGATTAACGATAGCCAATAATTTATTTTATATAATTGTAAGTAGTCGCTCTTAGTGAGTCCGGAATAGAAATCAATTAAAGTAAAGGAAATCAAATAATGAATGATCAGTAAGCTGCTTGCCTGTTCGTCCACAATCAGTGACCAACCACATTTACCTTCACTACTACACATCACTTAACTAAAAATTATTCACATGCATAAATCTGTAACTAAGATTGTAGTTTTTCATATCTTATTCATAAAGAATTCCTAGTGATCAGAAAAGGGATTGTAATATTATAGTCGTCTAATTCAGATATAAATGGATACTTGTGTAGGATATCTAATGAGCAGCTGTGCATTTTGGACGAAACATACGGAAGTTCTTCGGTAAATGCCTGAGTGGACCATTCAAAAAAACAAACTTAATTTAAGAGCAGTTCGATTTAAATTTGTAGCTGACATTATTTTTGGTTTTATGATTTCCTAGAAACTTGATTAACCAAATTCTTCTGTTCTTGTCTTTCTTTAATTTATGAAACGTTCCCTAAGTGAAGCAAATGATCACATTTCCTGAAGCAGTAAATCAACTGAGCATTCGTCTTGTGAACAAGTTTCTTTTGTTTTTATCTTGACGATATTCATTTTCGATGAATCAATTTTCTTTAGTACGTGCCATTCGAATGTTATTGAACTAACATAAATTTTATTTTAGCTTAATCATTTTAATTAAGTCACTTAATTGATCAACGAACACATCACACGGATTACATACCAGCCTACACTTATCCGGTCAAGGTTATGTAATTGATCTAGTTTCTACTTCTTTATCACTTTTGCTACGAGTATTTTTTTACATCTCACATGAGGTATTGTTCAATTAAATATGAGGACAGTTATTGTTCTGTGTTAGAATGCAAAATTATCTTTAAAAACTTAGGGTATAACTATGTATTCATATTTAATATCATAATGACGATATTATGGATGACATGGAAAATGAAGAAAACATTTTAGCCTACTTAATTATATTTAAGTAGATTAAAATATACAAATGCTTTTTTCGGTCGAAATGTAGATACAGGTGGAGCCGGAGCTGCCAATAATAATAATAATAATAATAATAATAATAATAATAATAATAATAATAATAATAATAATAATAATAATAATAATAATAATAATAATAATAATAATAATAATAATAATAATGTTAACTAATTGTTGACGAATTTAAATAGTTTGATTGTAGACTTCGTTATACAACTCCAGATTCTGATGAAATAATCAATATCTTACTTTTCGGGTTATACATTCCAAACTGTAACATCTATTATTTGATAACTCTCATATTAGTGAGTAATTTTCGTGTACATTGATTGGTATTCTGTTTATGACTGTTATACTTGAAGGAAAGCTGATATGGATCAAAGAAAAGAAAACAGAATAAGTTTGTTATATGCCAAAAATAGATCAAACGTTTCACGTAAATACCCATATTTTTGTAAGTTTTACTTATACTTATACTTATACTTATACATGTTTTTCTGTCACTTTGTGGTGTGTGATACTGATGTCGACAGATATAATTAGTATGTATCATCAATCAGAAGTGGAATACTTGACAGCAGAAGGTTAAGGAGATTAAGGAGAGCAGAACGAGAACAGAGAATGATTGGTGTGAAAATGAAGGAACAGTGAAGTCTGAGACAATTGATTACAATTTTGCAAATGAATTATTTACTGTATGGTTCTTAGATTTTACTAAGATCTGTAATTTTGTATTCCATTGTCCCCACTTCTGTTCTCATTCACTACAGCTATACTTTCCATTGTTCCAACTCATTTTATTGTTTCTAAAAGTTTAATCAATCGAAAATGATAGATACTTCGACGAGACTAAAATTTATGGATGAACCAATCAGATTTACGATAACAGGTCTTAGATTTTGGCGCAAAATTCATTCATCCATTTGGTTAAACAGTGTCTCGACATTATGACTGATGTCAGTTCGTTATGAAAACTCTAAATCTAACTCCTAATTCTAATCATAATCCTTATTTTTCAAACTTCTTTATAACCCTTATTAAGGTCTCGTAAGTAGGTAAACACTCTCAAGGTTACTTCACCATCGCTCAAAGGTCATCCATAAATTATAGTCTCACCGGTACTTCTTGTATTAATACGATTAACTTTGTTAGTGTAGTTCACTGCCCTTATCAAAACTTAGTTAATTTCAACTATTTAAGTCAAGGACTGTTGATTTCTAGATGGTGGTTGGAGGTAGTGAACAGGAAACCCTGAACCTAGGTCTCGTGCTACTTGGCACTCGTCAGCAAGGTGTATCTATAATCTTGAGGGAACTGATGTTCCCTGACGGATCTGATCCCGTGTCACCCAGCTTCACGGTCAGAGACGTTACCACTGAGCTATCCGGGCCACGACCAACCGCCTGTAGGACTGAGATGTGATCACAATTGATTGATCACTGGGTGGTGACCAATGTCATGTGTGTCAAGTCATGAGTGCCAAGTAGCACGAAACCCGGGTCCAGGGTTTCCTGTCGACTACCTCCAACCATTATCTAATCGCACAATAGTGCACGCAGTGTCGAGTCACCTAGACTAGTGGCCACATTGCATCATGGTCGATAGCATTCGATCTGCACTAATAAGGAATTGGCACACATGACATTGATCACCACCCAGTGATCAATCAATTGTGACTGTTGATTTCTATGTAACCTTGAAATTGCTTATATTTACTTGGTTAAAATTTTAACTATATAGTAACCAACGTTGAAATTCGATGAACATTAACCAACACTAATGTAGGTAACTTTTTTCTAATATCTTCATGAATTGTTTTAATGTAATATTTGGTATTCTTATTTTATTTTTATTTCTAACCTGACGGATCTGTATACTAAATACTGTATACATTGATATAGTGGCTGAGAAGATTTGTAACTTGAAGGGAGGGTGAGTGATGATTTTAATGAAGTTATGTTCTGTAACGATTACACTACCTAGCTCAGTAAACCAAACTCTATCAAATGCTATTCGAATTTTAGGAAAACAATGTATTAGGAAATAGAGTTTCACAGATTTGTCATCAGGAGAAATCTTTTGTTTGGTGTAGAACTATTGATACGCTATCTAGATATAAATAGACGAGATAGGATTTGGTTTTGTTAATAACTACTCAAAGTCATAACTGATAATAAGTTATTACTACGCGGTGTACACATATTGGTTTATTATAATGAAGACATATACAGAATATTACAAGAGATGAGGAATGATCAACAAACATTTGGACTGAAAACTCTTATTGTTTGAGCTGTAAAACGAATAGGATTTTATTTGAAATAATCAGGAAGGATTATTATGCAAAAGAAAATAAAATCCTGTCAAGACCACTGGGTAATGTTCCCAAAAATTATTGACTACTACTACTACTACTACTACTACTACTACTACTACTACTACTACTACTACTACTACTACTACTACTACTACTACTACTACTACTACTACTACTACTACTACTACTACTACTACTACTACTACTACTACTACTACTACTACTACTACTACTACTACTACTACTACTACTACTACTACTACTACTACTACTACTACTACTACTACTACTACTACTACTACTACTACTACTACTACTACTACTACTACTACTACTGGTAGCAGAATGTTAAGAAGATCAAAGAAAGGAGAACGAGAACAGAGAGTGATTAGTATGGAAATCAAGGAGCAATAGAGGAAACTGACATCAATCAATATAACAACAAGAATGAAAGAATGATGTCTATTGTGATCTACCGTCGTCAATTTTAACGTTGAACATTCTTATTCAAGTATTACAATAAGCTACTTGGCTTCTTTTTTTAGACGTTTGGAAACAGGATAGAAATACAATCGGCTATTCATCAAGAGTAACATCACTGATGCTTAATTCAATCACAAACATTTATCTTAAATGACGTTATTAGAGACGAATGACTCAGTATTCATTGAATTATTCAAGGTAGATATGGAAGTGTACATTAAATTACTATTAGCCTGAATGAAAAAGTACCCATATTATGAGAACATTTGGGCATATTCACTAGATCTCAAGCTCAAACAATTATGAATGAGGAGAAAAGTTCTGAAAATAGTCATGGTAACCTAGAATCCGATGGAATATTATAGGAAAAATATCGGTAACTTGAAGATTGTTATAACTTTTGGACTTGTGCCCTATTAATATATACTTAGTGATACTGCCAATTAGAGAACAGTGAATTATCGATCGGACCAAGGACGCGTAAAATACGTGTGAGCAGCCTAGAGTCCTTATCAGTCCTGCTTCCTGCCCAGCCATGCCTGCCTGTTAAGTTCAGAACACCAATCTCAGCCTCTGCAACATGAATCATTTATTTCAAACATACTGGGATTTTTATACCCCCATCAAACAGACCACATCGTACCAATAGAATATGAAACAACATTTGTACAAGAATTAGCCAGATATGGCTGTGAATGAGGGAAGTAGTAATTGATAGACTGGGTATAACTCAAGAATGATAACGTATAATAATGGTTTATGAATCAAAATAAAGCTTATTATAAGAGGACTATGAACATGCATAGTTTAGTTACTTAACGATTATACAATAAATATATATGTATAGTATTTATCCTTAAACCGATCCCAACAGTTACCACTTATTGTTCTCGTCGGGATGTAACAGAGATGATTATCACTGAAGGTTAGCCAGCTAAGTTTTGTTTAATTTAAACATTTAACCAATTATTAAGAGAATAATGACTGATTTAATCAAACTTTCCAAATTTTATCATTCTAATCCACTCACAAGACATTGAAATCGTTATTCCTTCATTGTACTTTCATAAGGCAATATTTAGTGAAATAACCTTTGGACCAAAGATTACTCCTATCAAAAGCCTATATAAACATAACAACAATCGTTATTTTGAACGTATTACTATATAGTATATCACCTATACGAACTTACAGAGTTCATTCATAAAATGTAAAATACCATACATTAAATACTTCATCTGTAACCCTTCTATCATTTGTCTCTTACAAACTTTATAGTTCTTTCATTCCCGTTGTTATTACAATTATTCTCTGTTTATATTCCTATTCTCTTTAATTCGATCGTCATAACCTTCTACTTTTATTCATTCCACTTCTGATTGATATTACTTACTACTTAATTCTGTCAATATAAGTAGTATACACCACATTAATATTAACATTATACAGATAAACTACTTTCAGAAATCAAGTTTAGTCTAACATTAATTAAGCTAGTTACTACCAATAAACACACACACAGACACATACACACACACCGAAAACTGGTTCCAAATTGTATATAGTCACTGTGAACAAAGAAGTTGATGAACACATTAAGTAGGCTTTCCATTCTCATTTCTAATTCACATATGAGTAACAATGAATATAGATTGAATAATTTGTTCTATAATCAATTACTTTGATAACTGAATATTGAAATTTTAAAAAATGGTTTAAATGGAATGGTTATATTTGTGTATTAGCTTAGAGGTATATGTATTCATTGAAGGTCTCTGAAGAAATCCGGTAAAAAAAGAATATTGATTTACTTAATTGATTCATTGCTTGTTTAGTTATATAAATATATATTTAATAGGTTGAAATCATGAATTGATTTAAGTTTGACCATCATTGGAAATCTAGAAGCATTAGATATAGGTTTTGTTCTAGTATGGGATTGCTCAACAGTATGCATCCACGTTCCTATACACATCAGTTGAAATAAGAACCTTCGATCTCGTATGAGAACACTTAACCTCTAGATCACTGAATCGGTATCTAACGGTGTTAATGTCTAACTTTGACCAACCCATGATATTGTGCGACTCATGAATTCAATTATTAAATTACTATAATCTCCACAAATCCCTATTCTGTTATAAATATATATTAATTAATGAGGGTTTCTGATTGCTGAAATCAAGTTATTGTACTACTTTCCTCAATTATTTATGATCTTGTTTATTTGAATTATTTCTTTACAGTGATTTGAATCTTCTCTTCGTTAGTGTTAAGGATTGAATTTCAGCTTACTTTATTAACTTACTTAGGCCTGTTACTCCCGCCGACTAGCATTCTCCAACCCACTCTATCCTGGGCCTTCTTTTCT